TAATTCGTTTACATCCATCTTTCTTGTTTTCTGCCCTGGAAAGGGTTTATTCGATTAACAAAATAATAATGAAGATAAACAAATTTGTGAAGGGTCCGATTAAAAGAAAAATCATTTTGTGAAGGGTCCGTTTTTAAGTTAAAATATTTTGTGAAGGGTCCGTTTATATGAAAAGATATTTTGTGAAGGGTCCGTTAACGGACCCAAATTTCTTCTAAACAGACCCCTGATATATATATCAAGTTAATGAGCTAATTAGCTAAGTAATTTATTTAAAATGCATGCATATATTAATAAAATAATAAATGTATGTTTTTAAGTGCCTGTAGTTATGCTTTAATAATTAAAATGATTAATAATAATTAGGTATGATTTAACGATAGTGAAGTAACTGCAAACTTTCAAAGACAAGTGCACTATTTTTCCTTTCCCATATAAATCTATATATTGACAGCAATGAGAAACTAAATAAAAAGAGATGAAAATAAAGAAGGGTTGAGGAAAGAAAGGGCAAAAAGGTTATGGAGTCTATTACATCAGGGCACTAATTTACTTCAGGGGCAACAGGGTGGATTCTTCTGATCAAAAGGGCAGCAGGGTGCTGTGCCCTGTTTACCCTGCCTAGAATGAGCTCTGAATAATGCAATATTAAAAATAATAATTTTTTTTTAATAAAAATAATAAATTTGTTTAAAAGTTAACCTTTTATTTTTCACAATATTTTTTTAAAAGACATCGATATAAAAAAATTATTTTTTAATATAAATATCATTTGAGGAATATTCCAAAGACATTTTTAAATTCATCACTCTTCTACTCTCATGCCGAGGGTGTATTGATTTTAAGTTCAGCGTTAATTGAAAGGATGTTTTCAAATTTTGGAGTAATTCACTCAAAACTTAGAAACCGTCTTGTTGTGAAAACAGCAGCTAAATTAGTTATGTGCTATTTAATGTTAAGAGGACCAATTGAACTTGATTACTAATTAATCTTCCTTTTTTTAATGTTTAAATTGAAGAGTCAAACAATATTAATAAAACATTATACTTTTAAAAAGAAATATTCTCTCATAAATTTAATAATCAATATGTTATTAGTTCTATGTTTTACCTTTTAAATATTGTTCAGATAAAATTGTGACATAATTTGAGTAAAAGGGTTTTGGACAGTGTAAGACAGTTTTGGACAGGACGGTTTAAACCATTCTCTCTTAAACCATGCCAACTCTGAAATAGAGATCATCTTAATTGCAGAGTCATAATGAAAACATAAGTTCTTTTAAAAAGAAAAAGCTATATAGAAACAAGACAGAACCAAGAAGAACAAGACAGCTAGAAACAAAAATCATTCTTTAATCTTAACAAGATTCAATGTTACAAATCTTTCCATTAATTTCATTTTTTCAAATTGCTGTATTTTTTTGTTGTTGTTTTTTTAAGTGACCATAAAAGAATAATGCTCATTAAAAAATGCTGATAAAACAAAAAGCTAATAAAAAAATAAACAAGAAAAAATTGACAATAGAATAAAGTCTGTTTGAAACACTGTTAACAGAAAAAAACAAAAATGAAACAAAACAAATAAACAAAAGTTCTCAATCTTTAAAATATAAAGTGTTGAAAAAACAAAGAAATTGACGTGTCTGAACATAATATAAAAAAAAAAGAAGAGGAAACTCATGGTTTAGTTTTAATTCTTCAAGTTTTGCTTTTCCAGATGTCTTACAGAAGTTAAATTAACAAGTTTCAGAACATGTGTAAAAACTATTTTTAATAAGGTATAGTAAATCTTTTTATTAAAGATTATTCTTTAATAAATCTATCAGAATTTCCCCCAAAAAAACTGCAGAAAATTAATTTTCAAAGGATACTATGCCAATTATTCGGTAAGAGGGCTGAACATTTAAATAAAGTTATTAAAAAGAAATTCAAAAAAATATTAATTTTAAAACTTTAACAAAGAAAATATTTCTTAATTTAATCTTTAATAATTAAGGGCTCAAATCAAGGTTGGGTTTTTGACATCATAAACCAGAGGCAAGTTCCTTTTATGACATTGGAGACACTTTATTAGATACCAAATCAGTGGCGAACGCAAGGGAGGGGTTTAGGGGTTTAAACACCCCCCTTGAGCTCAGGCAAAATTGCAAAAATAAAACTTTTAGTAGAAATTATGCGAGCTATTATTTTTTTAAGACTATATATTTTTATTTACCTTATGCCTACTTTTTTTTCCCTCACGGTATTTCTCAGAATACTGAAATAACATTTACTATAATAAGGTTTTCTTTTAAGACCAAATTCACGTGATACTGTTACGGACTGGTTCCTTTCTGTCTTGCCAGTATAGTTTTCGAAACTGCTGTCATTCGCTAGGTCTTTATGCGATGATTCTGGAATCCTAGACGTTCTGTCGTCTTTGAGACAATTCGAGAATTTTGGAGATGCAGTGAAAAATCATATAAAAGGGGGAACGGAGTACAGTGGTGCTAGTTAGTCAGACTAATAGTTATCTCTGCCGCTTGTCTTTCGGAACTTGTCGCTAAATCTGTTTTGTTTTGTCTTAACAAAAAATTACTTCAATCGCCGAACCCGTCGTCGCCACTATTTCGACTAGTGAAGAAATCAGTAACAATACCATTGGAGATACTGTGCTCGTTGAAGTTATCCATTCCAGCTCGAAACTTTGAGATCGTAACATAGCGGATATTTCCGTGCCAAGATATATATATATATTTGCTGTTCTTGGATCTTTAGGATGTCAAAACGCAAGAATTTAACAATTTTTAATTATTTTGAGAAAAATCATGACCTGAAATTACTGAGGTGATAGCATCTAGTACCAATATAAGTTTTTCTGTTGTACAGAAATGTGATACTTCCGTTGAAGAAAACGTTTCTAGCATAACAAAATCTGATGAACGTGAAAGTGACCCTCAAAGTGTTACTTCCCACTCATATGACGTTGGACTTTTTTCAGAAGATATTGCATTATGTTCTTAAACTTAAAAAATCAAATCAAAATTTAACTAAGCAATGTTGTCTAAATAAAAAGTCAAAATTGTCTAGATGTCTAAATTAGGGAAATAATAGTGCTTTATTACAGACTCGAATTTCTTTTAGTAGTTTCAGAAAATTATGAACACCCCCCTTGAAAAAATTCTGCGTATGCCACTGTACCAAATCATGCACAATACTTGCATTATATACTTATATAATAATGATTTATATTATCTATCACATGTAAAAAATTTTGTCAAAATTATTGAATATATTAATTGGTTTTTCTAATGGTAATCTTCATATGTTAAGACTCATATTATAACTATTTGGTTTATATTACAAGTAATAACTATGAGTTGTTAATTATTATCAATCTAAATATTGATAATTCTTTTATGTTACAATTTAGGCAGGAGATTTTTTAGATTTAATAAAATTAAATTCTTAGCTAATAATTAACTGATCTCAACACATAATTTTTTTGTTTATTGATTCTCAAACTTTGTTATATTGTTTAATAAGACTTAGGAGTGAAATTAAAGGAGCTACAGGAAAATTTTCGGTCAAACAAAATTCCTACCAACTTCTTTATGTTGCTTTGCAAAACTGTTTCTCATTTATATCTTGTTAAAAAACAAATGTCGATTTGTGTATTTATTATTTTGAATTCCTTAAGTTAAGTTCCGAATAAGTGGGACCTTAAATTTAATTTAATAAATTTCAATATATTTTGATTCCCTTCCCCCCAAAAAAAAGCTAAAATTTTTTATCTAAGTTTTGTTTTAAGGAAATATTATAATCTGCGAATTTTCAGGACTCTTTATTTAATATTTTCAGCATCAAAATTTAAGTTTTTGATAGTAATTGTAAAAAAAAAAGTGCTTAATATTAAAATAATTCACGAATATAGTTGTTTGATCACTTGTAATTTAATATGCATGATCATTTATTATACTTCTTATTAATAAATACTTCTTATTTATACTCATTGATTAATATTATTTATACTTCTTAAAAGCAAATAGCCAAAAACATATGAACTGGGAGTATTCAAGCATTTTCTACTTCAATGTAAACACAATACAATAAAAGGTAACTCGTTTTTAAATATTTTCTACAGCATTTCTGATCAATGTGTCTATTTCTATTATTTTCAAAGAACCAGGTTTAACAAACAAATTTCCAGATTCCATTTGATCTTGTTAGAAGAGAGTTCCGCTGAATTCGTACTTTAACAATGTATTTACAATCATAACCTACCCATTGCATATAATTATATCTTCAACGTGTAATCATGAGACGCTTTTACAACAGTAAACAATCCTCTGTACATACACATATTTAACCACCTCACAAATGATTAGTACTTATAAAATAGTGCCTACAATCACAATCGCATTGATAAATTAAGAAATAAAAAATATTCTGGTAAATATTAGGAGTGAAACTTAAATATTGAAAATATCTCCATAAGGATTTTACACATACTAATTGCAAAATTTAGTTAACACTACTTATCTAAACTAAAGAAATAAAAGACTTTAACAAATGCTTTAATAAATCAAAATATATTTTATTAAACTATTTAAAACCTTATTAATTTCCTTTGGATGTTTCGATATCCTCATTTCAAACTGATCATGGTGCTTTACTTCTCAAAAAAAATATTTCATCATGCGAAATGAAAACGCTCACAACCGATATAAATTGGATTGTAATAATTTTAATTTTAACTATTATATGAATCACAACCTTTTGGTACTTAGATAATGAAGTAAAAACAAAAATAACATACTTTTTATCTAATGCTAAGAACATATCGTAAACAAACAGATTCAAACATTCCATAACTTACCGTAACAATATTCCTATTACTTCTGCTTCAAAGCACACAGTTTTGACAAAAACTAACTAATACTTTAAAAAACATTAAAATATATATTATTTGGAGCTATAACGATTATCATGATAAATTTATCAGAAATGAATTCCGCTAATTAATAAACATCGCTATACTGATCGCTTTCCAACCAAGGGAAGAAGCTCCTCAAAACGTTGCCATTTTCTTATCTTTTTTGAATAAGTTAAAAATTTGACGACACATTTCAATTAAGGCTGTTGCTTGGCTGACCGCTTTTTT